TTTTTTTTTCTAAAAAGTACTTAGGCTGTGCTTATTGGTTTCGCTGCTTTGCTTGGCGAAAATGTCTACAATTTCGGAGAATTGGTAAGTATTACGGTTTACGTCCACTGATAAAAATAAAGTCAATGACCTTTTATAGCTTGCTCACCCAATCTTGAAAGCTCTCGAAGGCTCCGGCGAAAAGTGGCTCTCAGAGGTAAGAAACTTTGTCCCCTGAACTCGCTTTCTATATCAATCGCTCAGGTTTTGTACGCCTTCAACTGTGGTGATCTCAACAAGTTTTACTCACTCGAGAAATACTGGTCTGAATGGGATGATTTGAAGCGTAAAAAAGATTTTTTGGTTGGAAAAATCCGGTTGCTAGCTATTATGGAGGTTAGTTCTGTTACATCCTGGTTTCCTTCTGCTTTGTTTCACTAGATGTTGTTTTGGCTATGTTTGCTAAACGGTAACCACGATGCTAGATTTATTCACAAATCGTTTAGCTTGCTCTTGCACGACCATCAAAAGAACGCCGGATCTCTTTCAAAGAGATAGCTACCAAATGCCAAGTGCCTGACAATGAGGTTGATTCACTATTTTATCATTACTATAGACTTCGTTATCGTTCGTGACCTTGAAAAAGATTTATTTCCGTTGCTCCTATTCTGTTGTTTTCCTTTGCATGACTTGAAATTGATGCAATCGCACTTTTAGGTTGAGTTCTTAGTCATGAAGGCCCTCAGCAAGGATTTGGTGAGAGGGGCTATAGATCAGGTGAACCAGTCGGTCCTCATTACCTGGGTGCAACCTCGGGTACTCAATACCAGTCAGGTAAGAAGCGCACTTCTTGGTTCAGAGCAAGTTTTATTGTAAGTATTGAAGGTGCTATCAATGGCCAATCGCATCGCTGCATGGAGCAAAGACGTGATTGCTATGGAAAATATCGTTAGTGAGAACGCCCGTGAGATCTTGACGAAATCTTAGTCGCAGCAGAATATTGTTTTCTTTGTTGTACATCTCTCTGAACTAATAATATCGCTATTTATAAAATGATTCTCATAGTTGGCAGCATTACTTTGGTTATAGAGGTTTCATTTTCTTGAACGAGAACTACAAGCCGAAAGTCCATCCTTATAATATCAGTGCTACTCTTATGGCTGCGTTGTTAGGCTCCGTTCAAAGTGCCGGAGCTGCGCCAAGCCGAGATGTGGCCGAGCTAACGCTGAGCTACTAGCCATGATGTCCTGGCG